TACCTGGATTATTGAGCATGCATCAGGATATCAAATCACTAGTTAAAAACTCAAAGCAGCAAAACTGACACTGACTTTTGTTACTTTTTAATTTGGGCCTGTAGATGTTTATTAAATGTTCACTTGTTGCATTTCCTTGATGACATCACTCTTAGCAGAAACAATGTTTCAATAAATATTATCTAGATTAAGAATACCCCCTCCCTCTACGACACTCTGTCCAGTGTTCCTTATTTCAACTTCTAAAAGTTGGTAACCCTGCGTATAATGTCATTTTACAGGGTTCAACCAACCCAAATAAAACTCCATCCCTTTTTAGCTCAAGACAACTTTAGTTTAAACCAGATCTTTTATATTTAATGTTTTTTTATTTTTCTCTCAAAGGCATATTTAGAGTCTTTCCACTCTTTCTGCAAGAACCTGGGCGGTGCTACAAAGAACACAATGTGCCCCATCCTGCAGGTTCGGTTTCTTCTCACTGAGCCAGTTTTCTTTGTTGTAATGAAGAGATATGTTTATCTGTGAATACTTTGTGCTACAGTTTGAGGCAGACAGGCGGGCCCTCATCATCACAGTGAACTCCTTCGGGACAGATCTGGGTGGTGCAGAGAGGAGTGTGCTGTATCCGTCTTGTGGAAAACTGTTCCCTGAGGGACTCCAACTCCTTGCCAAAGCAGAGGACCACGAGCAGGTGAAAGCTGTAGCCGACTGTTATCCCGTGAGTTTGATTTCATTCATGAATATGTGAATGAGAACTGCTGCTGTTATTGCATTGTCACCTTTTACTAAAACCTCCCTGCAGGACTATAAGCTCATTTTTGATGAGCAAGAATCAGGATCAGATTTTCGGTCTCTGGAAGACAGGTTTTTTGAACAAGAGGTAAGATGTCTTTGATCTATGTCAGTATGTGTGTAATGAACATTAAAACAAGTCTTTTCTCTGAATTTAATCATTCAGCAACACATTTCAAGGATTCAAGGTTTTTTATTTGTCATATACGCACCACATGTGGCACATGTGGTGGAACGAAATTGTGTACACAGGGTCCCAGTTACATCCATCAATAAAAAGTAAAAGAAAAACAGTAATAAGATCTAAGATATGAAGTAAGAAAAATGTTAACTAAAAATACACTAAGCACTAGTAGAATAAAAACTTTTTTTTTCTCTCAAGCTCTCAAAGGAGGCGCACACATTCCTTCCCGCGCCCTGTTTCCCTCCTGCTTTCTATTTTTTGCTCTCTGTCTGTGTATCGGAGCAGCTCCTATTTTTACACATCTCCCGAAATGAAAACTACTGTTTTGGATCTGACCAAAAGGACTTTTGACGTACATTACAAATTCTTTCAACAAAGCGATAGGGTCCTGGAGAACCCTCATCTGCTCGGACGAGACGTGCAGCTGGATAAATCTCTGGCGGGATGTGTCTGCCTCTGCTATCGACAGAGGATGCTGAAATGGCCAATAATTGGACTTATGATAACAGGTTTCCTGTGTTTGGAATAGTCTGGATTCTGGTTTATCAACATACAAAAGAAGATGGCTGCAGCTAATTTGGACCTCGACAAGCTTCTGTCTATGTGAAGGTCTGGTTCGTGCTCGAGGACTCAAAATCAGCTGATTTACAAGCAAAACCTTAAGTTGGAAGTGATTTTAATGACATGCCACCTGCAGCTTTGGGACTTGTCAGCATGAAAACACCATCTTGAAGAGGCTCTTAAGCACGGACCAGTGGAATGCAGTTTAATATGGACATTTCGGACCTTGGAAAGTTATCAGTACAGACTCAAGGCTGACGGAAAAATAGTCTGCCTGAATAAATCAACAATTGTGGTTATCTGAATCTCTCCCCAGCTGGCCTCGGAACAGCTCGACTTATCAATTTCTCCTGGGAGATGTGTAAACTAAGGAAAAGCTTAGTCTATCGCCCCCCACACACACCTTCTGTGGAGGTTTGTCAGAACTGTGCCGACTGACCATCATCTCATCAGGACAATGGACTATCTGTTAGTGCTTCATGGACCACCGCGTTTGTAAATGCATATGTACCTGTTCATAAATGTGCTTTAGCTGGCAGAGTTTTTTGATGTCTTAAATCTTGCCCTATAAGGACAAGGTGTGAAGAGATCTTTTTTGTAATGCCACTACCTCTCTCCTCATGGCTTTGTCCCTTTTTCTATCTAAAAATATTATTCTGAATAAGAATAAGAGGCCGAGCTTTATAGCAGCAGCTTCGTGCACTACCTCCATCTTTCGGACGACTGTACGTACATGTTCTCGTTGTATCTCGGTGCAATGATAATAAAGTTTATTCTGATTCTGAGTCTGATTCTGAACAGCAGCACGAAATTTTTCAAACTTTTCTTTAAATTTGAGGAGTCACAGCTTAACTTAAGGAACATATTTTTCTAACTGAATGCATAAAATTAGTTTCTTTAATCACTGACAATAATGATAACGTTCCAAATGGCGATTTAAAAAAAAGTATTTCTAGATGTACAGTTGTGTTAAAAAGAACAAAACCCCCTTTGGGTTTTAGGTGTTAGAGGTAAAAGAGATTAATTTCTTGTCAGGTCTTAAAATGAATAAACTACAACCTCATGATTTTTTTTTTTTTTTTACTAAAGCTAAGCCAGAATGCACAAAGATAGTGTGAAACACAATATCCACTCATAAATCAGTAGCTTGTAGAATCACCACTTGTGGTAATAATTTGAAGTAATTGATTTTTGTCAACCCTGCCGTGTTGCTGGGGAGGAATTTGGACAAACTCTTTAGTTATTTTTCAAGTATTTAAACTTTTATTCCAGTGCAGCTTTCCTAAGATCCCACTACAGACTTTCAGCTGTGAAGAAATGTTGAGCCTTTACGCCTTCATTCTTTTCATTTTGAGCTGCTTTGTTGCAGATTACCTGCTGTGATTAGGATCATTGTTCTGTTGCATCATAACCCAGTTTGGTCCAAATCTCAGGTGTCAGACAGATGGTCTCACATTTAACTGTAGAGCAGGGGTGTACAAACTTTTTCCCGAGAGGGCCAAATTTAAAATCTATCAGAGGGCTGCGGGCCAAATGCAAACATACAGTATAATTCACGAAATGCAAATCCGTCTTTAAGTAAAGTCCATTTATTTATTATACAATGAACCTTCCATTCTGAATAAAGAACATTACAGAACACAAATAAGTCATATGTAAGAAATTAAAACAAATATAAAATGTTGGCATTTCAGTATGTATATGTAGTGTAGAGGCAGGGCAGCCGGCTTGGGACCCGAGAGTCCCAGGTTCGATCCCCAGTCACTGCACATCACGTGGCGTCTCTGGGCAGCACGTCTAATCCCCAAAATGTCCCCCGGGCGCTTTCAATAGCTGCCCACTGCACCACCTGGTGGTGGATGGGTTAAATGCAGAGACTAATTTCGCCATTGTATGGAAACATACAGTGCTGACATTGTGATGACATTAGTACAAAATGTCAAAAAATGCATGTCCAACAGCAACACAACTTAACAGCAACAATAATATGAACATAAATAAACAGTCCCATATAAACGGTAGTCACTGAGCCGACTTTTCCATCTAACATTAAAGTCAATGGAATGACTGAGTAAAAACACATTGATTCTTCAAAAGAAATTTTAATATACAGTAGTAACGAGAACAGCTTGTTGGGCCAACTCAAAGGGCTTGGCAAGGCCAACTTTGGCCCGCGGGCCCCACTTTGGGCACCTCTGCTCTAGAGTGTCTTGGCCTATAGAAGGGTTCATGATTGACTGTAAGGAGCCCAAACCATCCACCCTCTACCACCGTACTGACAGCTCTTATGAGGTGTTGGTGCAGATTTGTTGTGTTTTCGTTTTCTCTAAAGTTGCTGCTGTGCACAACGGCCAAGCATCTCCACTTTGGTCTCCTATAACGGACATTGCTGCAGAAGTATTCACAATCTGAACTCATGCATCCATGTTTAAGTTCAGTTCACATTTTCCAGTTTGATAAACCCCAAAACACATATATTTCAAAATGTGTGAGCTCGGTACCATAGAATGTTAGTAACTCGAGTCACTGTATGATTTCAGATAGATCTTAGACTGAATGATTATTTGATGCTGCAAAATCAAACATCTGCCAGAGATATAATCCAACAGTGAATGGAAAGCAGATTCAAAAACGGAGGAGGTTGAAGAGAAGCTGCTACTGCTCTATTTGTACAGGAAAAAATCTGACACTATTTGAAGTTTATCATGGGTGCGTTTCATCATGAGTTTGATAAATCAGCTCTCTGTGTGCGTGTCACACTGAACAAACTTACTCCATCGACTTAAACTCACAACCGCAACTTTTCTCATAATGTTTTTTTACTGTGAAAAATGATGTCTAGAACAGCCAGAGCATGTGCAGTGTGAGCACACGGTCTTACAGCCTTGGAGAGAAGAGGCTTTATTCTTGACAACCTCTGTCCTGTTATGAACTTTGACCTTTACCCTGCTAACTGAGGCTTATGGAGTCTCAGGTTTTATGTCAGTGTTTTTTCCACGAGTCTGGCCCTCACACCTGTGCCCACTCAGTAATCACCCAGGTGCCTCCTCTTCCCATTCATCCCAGTTTTATATATGCAGTCCTGGTTCCTCCTCTCACCAGTTGTGCATTACGCTGTTTGCCTCAGTCGGACTTAGTTTCCTTCCTTGTGTTTTTCTCCTTTTGCTGCACTGACAGCCTTTTAATTTTGTTAATAAATTAATTTTTACATTTTGTGCTTGGAGTCCTGTCTGCGTCTTGTGTTTCTCTTTAATCAAAAATCATGTGGATGTGTAAATCAACAGCAGCTGAAACTGAATGAAGCGCTGTCGTTTTGACAGGTGAAGCTGAACATGCTCACTTTCCTGCAGCAGTTCAACTTTGGAGTATTTTACTCCTACTTCAAACTCAAGGAGCAGGAGATCCGCAACGTCATCTGGATTGCTGAGTGTGTCACACAGAGACAGAAGTCCAAGATACACAACTACATTTCCATCTTCTAGGGAAAAGTAAACAACGCAATGAGCAAGACACACGAGCTGAGCGTGGAACAAACCATGGGATGTCAATAGTTAACTGTAACAAGATCTTTGTCTCATTATTATTATCATGATCACCAACATGTTGACGTTCAGATGTTTGCTCAGATTAAACATAAGATGACTAATCATCAATAATGTGTTTGGATGCATGACACTGACCTATATTTATCACTCCAGTTGGTCTCAAACAGGTCAGACAACTCTAAAATAAGTCAGATCATTTTATAACCAGGAATTAAAAGTACTCCTGTTAGGTTTTTGATGATTTAATAATATACCCAGATGTCCAGCTTGTCTGTAAGGTCATAATATGGCTTCTTCACCACTTAAAGTATTTTAAAACCTTGTTTAGAATAGATAAGCTCCACCAGGTTGACTGAATGTTAACTGTTTTTTTTTCTCTGAGGACATTTAAGACTCCCTGAAGTTTTGAAACGATAGCTCTTTAGTGACAAGTGCAGTCAACACTGATACACAAATATTAGATCAGCTGATACTTAGCTTTTTAATATTCTGTAGTAAATTAAACTTTTTCACTTTTAAAATGTGTTTATGTTCAGTAATATTTACAGTATAATAGTTGTTCTTTTAATCCTGAAGTCATTATCTTAATAACAGTGGGACTGATTGTGTTTACATGTTGTATGTATCACGTTTACCTGCAGATGGAAATTAGTCAATGGCTAAATTTGGCAAAAAAATAAAAAAAATGGACCTGTGTCTTTCTGACTGTAACATTTTTTGTGCATCATTTGAACTCGAAAAAGCCTAAATCCGCTGTAGCTGTTACTTTCTTTTCTTAAGATTACAAGTTATACTTTATCTCATGATAACCAAACTAGTTTAATCTCCTGATTATGAAAATGTGTTTTCTTCACATAATGGGATAGTGTCTAGGCTACTCCTCATGGTCCCTGATATCAAGCCATTCTTGTTCCTGTTCACGCCTGATGTTCATGCCTTGTTCTCTGGATTTTCGACCTCACACCTTGCCTTGCCTTCTGGATTCCCTGTTTTTGTCTACTCCTCATCTGGTTTTGGACTCTGCTTTCTGACCATGGTACCGACTCTGTTTGTGATTATTATGCTGTGTGCTTTCCTTGTTTGTTTCTACTGTACAGCACTTTGGTTGGCCTTGTTGCTGTGTCTATATGTAAATAAAGTGGTATGGTATCATGACTATGCCTCGTGGATCACGACTTGGCTCTGGTTTCTGCTCTCTGCCTTCCTGTTCATGACCCTTGCTTCAATAACCAGCTCTCATTTTTGGATTTGCCCCCACGGACCATGTACAGCACCAGTTTTGCTCTGCAGCTGCTCCGCAGCGACATCATCACTACCACGCCGACAGGTGACTCTCTCCCTCCAGCATGTGAGGCCCTGGTAACTCAGCTGATCGTGACTCCTCCGTCCAGCAGCAAGAATAAAGTGTTCTTTTGTACTCCTGTGTCTGGTTTTATTTGAATCCTAAACTTGGTTGTGACACTTTGTTTACATCACTTCCTGTTACTATATGCAAATATCTCAATGTTATTGTTCCAGAAATTAATTCATATTTGTTACGGACATTTGATGTCAAGGGACTTGAAACTTTAATCTTTTGTTGGTGTTTTTTTTGTTGTTTTTTTAATCAAAATTTACCCCTTATGTTTGAAACAGACTTATGGCTTGTGTATTTAATGAAGTAAACAAAACCAAAAAAGCTGCAGTATTATCAGTGCTGTATTTGGAAAAATGTTTATGGGGGGAAATAAATGTGTTTTCACCTCATAAATGACATATGGCTTTATTTATTTATTTTTTTGTACAAGAGGTATTAGAATACATTGGAGTACAAGATACAAATTCCAGCCAGTGGTATAGTGTAAAATTGTCCATTTTTAGCAGCTGACCAAGGTCAGAAAATCTTCATCTTTGGTCTTCATTAGCTTCTCCTCATCACACTTTAGCTGCAACACAAGCACAACAACATTAAGCAAAAAGTAAACGCAGCAGTGAAGTTAGAAATTGTCATGTAATGACTCACTACACTTGGCTGGAACCTCCAGAGGTATGTAGTTCTGCTGGCAGAGGTGGACAAAAGCCCGAGCTAATCTGCAAGGAGCTTTGTTGGAGCTCAGCTCACACACTGACAAGAACTGACCGGGATGCACCTGACGACACAAACATGGCTGTAAGAACTGAACGAGATGCAAAACGAAGCCACATTCAACATTTAGTTTTCAGTTTCTATTTTCACGAGATGCTGCTTCCAGTCAAACTGAATAATGTTCATGTTGTCAAATAGACAATAATTCTTTTGTTATGAAAACAGAATCTGGGACATACCAAGTTGTATTAAAACAATCTCAGATCAACACGTGGAATATTACACTGTGTCAAGTTTTATTCAACAAAATGGAGCAAAAATGTTAAAGACAACACGTGAAACCCATAACGTGTAAAACCAGGTTTTATATAACTGAAGTTTATGGCACAACTTCATCAGCTTCTAATACGAGGTGGAGGAAACTTGTCCCACGTTAATATTAATGCGGGTCATTGTTTTCTGATGTTGGTGCACAGTTTTTACAAACCTTTGCCACAGCTCTTGAATCTAACGATTAAACTTTGAAAGGACTCAAAGGAATAGTTCAGATCTTATGAAGTCCAATTCAATGGAAAGGTAAAAAAAAAAAACATTTATTTGATTCTTGTAAACACTGTAGCTCTGAAATCAACCTCAGTTGAAAGTAATAGTTTATTTTTAACAAACTAACAACTAGTCTGAGCAAAGCCAAGAGTGCCCTCTTATCAGCTCACATCTCAAAGGTTGCAGATGTTTATGCACAAACTAAAAAATCATTACATCACCTGCTGCTTGCTCATTCTCGTTTATATTTTAAGGATTTTTTTTACTTGGTTTTGAAGTTTTAAATGTCTCGGTACCCAATTATTTATGTGAATTTGGGACTTTTATAACTCTAAAAGAACACTGAGATCCTCCAGATGCTCGTAGTGCAGCCAAGGGATAAATTAAAGCGCAGAGGGGACCGGGCTCTTGCAGTGGCAGCACCCAGACTGGAACAAGAGTCTTCTTTGTGAAGCACTTTGGTCAAAAATGTTATTTTTGCATGTTTTATATCAATAAAACTGACTTTGACACTGACCTTCAGCTTCACATTACATCATTACTGACATATCATTCTGTATTTATGAGCTCAAATAACGGCCCCAACAACTTCTTGAAAATAAAAATATCTACTTGAATCATTGTGTAAAATGGAACTGATAACAGGAAATAAAGGTTTATAAAAAAAGGGATTTGCATAAATGGTAATGAAATTAAGATTAGAACTGTTTTAGTATGTCAGCAACCCCTTGAACAAGTTTTAAGCTTCAACTAATTTCTCCAAATGTATTAAAATATCTAAAATAAAGCTTTAAGACAAGATCATTTATTTAATCTTGATAATGTCTAATAGTTAAAAACTGCACTTTTTAAATACTTTTCACATGGCTTTCGTTACATTTTTTCTCCCACCTGGTTAAATTCAAATATGAACATTTGAATACATTTTCTAATCAGAAAGATGAATATTCTGCAAAACCTGTGAACTTGTAGTTTCAGTTTGAGCGCCTATAAGAAGTATGTCCACTTGTATTAAAAATTTCACCTGCAATAAACTTTTACAAATATATATATATATTTTTAATTTAAAGTCACAGAAAAACAATTACAAATGTGTGAAATTACTTTTAAACAAATGTAACAAGTCATTCACTCCTAATTCATCAATTGTTTGAGAGTATTCTTTACACAACCTCAAATAAAAGCTATAAGTTCACAATCCGACATTTTTCAGTCAGGTCATCTGGACAGTTTCTTTTTTTTGTGCTGAAACGTTTCACCTTCCATCCAGAAGGCTTCATCAGTCAAGGAAACACACAACACAAAACTGATTCTTCCCCCAACAGCTTACTCCAAGGAAGAGGGCCGGCAATGGAGGAGGGGGCGTGCTAAAGAGACCATCTTAGCACCAATATAACTGGTTTGTTCCACTTTGGAGTAAGCTGTTGGGGGAAGAATCAGTTTTGTTGTGTTTCCTTGACTGATGAAGCCTTCTGGATCGAAGGCGAAACGTTTCAGCACAAAAAAAGAAACTGTCCAGATGACCTGACTGAAAAATGTTGGATTGTATACCTGGATTATTGAGCATGGACTTTAAGTTCACAAGTTTTGCAACAAATTTACATAAAAAGTAGTTGTTGTACCTGCATACAATAAAAACTAATTTAACTGAAAGTTTTTTTTTCTGACATGTTGACTAAATTGTTTCGCCAGACTTATCTAATAAAGAGTGATGAGAGTCAGGAATTTCTTACTGCCCTTATTTCCACCTGCTGAAGTGTGTCACCTGTTTTTCTGCTTACCACCTTGAAACAGGAGTTTAGTGGTGAATCCTGAGCAGAGAACAGAGAGTCGCAGCTCACTGCACTCACGGCTGCTTTAGAAACGTCTTCTACTTTAGCTGGAGGTTTGCTACACTTTGGTTGTAGCTAAAGACAGAAAAAAAACAAACAGGTAAGAACAGTAGACCTTCAGATTAATAGAACTTCAATAACAAACATTTTCATCATACATTTTATTCATCCTACCTGCCAACTGTGGACAAATTCCTCCAATGTTTTAGCTTGAGATCCATCACGCAGAGGGAAGTCATTGCCTGCATCATAGTCGTTTGTCCCGAAAAGACCAGAAGATGCACCTAAACAGACAAGTGTTCAGCTGATAAAGGTATTCAGCTCTTCATCACATTTTGCACATTTCTTACGTTGCAGCCTGTTTATATTGCTATTTTTTTAATTTATCTACACCCAGTACAACATAATGGCAGAGGAAATTGGGTTTTTTTTGTTATCTTTTTAAAAATAAACCCTGAAATATCACATTTTTAAGTGCTCAAATCTTTTTCAACAGCACTCAAAATTTA